GGAAATATGAAACTTTTATCATAATTATATTATGAGATTAATTTAGGCCTTTTTGTCGCAGTGTTTTATGTGTCCATACACAAACAAGCTGTGAGACCCCAGAGAGTAAACAGACAGATGTGTACACATTAATGCAACAGAACTGCCCCTGTTTATTAACCAGATAGTGCTGGGGCAGTGGTCATAAGTAAAACTACAGAAGTACAAGCCAAGGAGACTTGAAAAGTAATTCAAATTTTCCATGCATGCCACATTTGGAAACCCTGAATCCTGTGAGTTCAGCCATTGTCCCAGTTGTGTTGAGGTTTTAGAAGATACTCTTTGCTTCTGTTGGCAGATCTCTTACCTTCCCTCCTGAGTTATAATACCAGGAGCTACAAACTCCAGCCCAGATAGATGCACAAAGAGGGAAAACAATCATGTGCTTGGAGCTGGGGATGTGTATTTCCAGCTCAGGCTCACTGTAACCCCCCTCAGAGGCTCAGGGCAAATGCTCTGTGCAGGGATGGTTTGCTGGAACACGCTCTGCAGTTTGTTGTGCTACAGCAATGAGGGTGCCTGGTCAACAAATCAGGAGGCTGAGAGAGAACCCACTTCTATGCAGATCACTCCACATTATGAAGATGTAAAGTAAAAATTAAAAACCACAAACTAGAAAAGGGTGGTGTGGAGCCATGGGCAAATGTTGGCATACATATTGCTTGCATTAGGAGCAGCAAGAATTATTGTCTCTGCAAGTCAGCCTGGTGCAAAGGATCACAGTAACAGGCCCAGCTACTGAGTTATTAGCTCTTGCTTTTATAAACAGAGTTCTGGCTTACAGCAGCCTTTCTAAAAGTCAGTTTAGTCTGGATCTTCCTGAGAAGGCTGGGCTGGTCTGCTCACAGGGTTGGCTGCCTGTAATCTGGTCCATTTAGAAAACAAACAAAAACTACTTTATTCAGGACTTAAACAATAAAGTTATGATTAATCTGATGATGCCAGAAGGCTGGTGATGCTGAAACACTAAATGTGTAATGTTGTTGCAACCACGATGAATGCTTTGTTGTAAAATGATCTTTGTGTATCATGGGCTTATAGTGATGGATGTTGAGTGGCTGAATTTGGGAAGGGCTTTTGTGAAGCGTGCTGAGATCTTGCAGGAAACGTACTGGCAATTTTTTTTCATGTCCCTTTAGGTCTGAGACACATCAGAGTGTGTTTTATTTTTTCATTGTAAATATTATAATGGTGCCAGCAATGCACTATTTACTGCTTTTCATATGCGTGAGAATACTAAACATATGTATTTCTAAAGGAAATTCCAGAAGAATGTAAAACTGGCTTGTAGCAATAATTTGTAGGTTTGTGTCCATTGTTTTCAGGAATATGTAAATTGTTACATTATAGAACTCACTTTGAACCCTGCTGCATAATTAGCTGCACTAAACATCAGTATTCAATTTGGGAAATCTGTAGCCAAGTGTTTTATTAGAATTTCGTGGAAAAGGAGAATGTGAACAAAACCATAGAGCAAATGATCTGAAATGCAGTTAAAAATAATGAAAACCAAGCACCAGCCACATAAACACACCAGATGAAGACACAGCAAATGAAGATCATAAAAAGTAAAGTGGAATAAAAATGCATAAAGCCATTCCTCAGCTGAAGTAAATGGGCACATCTGCACCAGGAGTGATGGAACCGTGGTCATTGTCATTTGCTGAAGGGCTGCTCTGTGAATTTTGTTAAAAGGCTGATGGTTAGGAGGAAATGCCATTACCAGTAATGGCTTTTTGGGCAACTGGTTGCACAGGGCTCCTGCAGAGATTTGGTGACGAATGTCCTGCAAATCCAGCTGATTTCAGCTCGTCCCAGTGTGCTCCACCCTGCTGTGGGCCAGCACTGGGGCCAGGGACGTGCTGCAGTGCCAGCAGCATCCTGAGCTGCAGGAGCTGCCGTGGCACCACCCTGTGCCCGGGGCTGGGGCACACAGCCACTGCTGCCAGCCTGGAAAGCCCCAGGGAGCAGCAGGACACTGCAGCTGCCTTTGCTGGGGAGGAGGCTCCAAGCACCCAGTGGGTGTGATCATAACCCCCCAAATCCCCGGAAAACCAAGGCAGGAGTTAATAGGGTTACAGTGGCTGGAATGTCACGTACTCACCTGTACAAATCCGTGTACTCACATCTCCTTGCTCTGTGTTCCAGGTGCCCCAGCTGTGACATCCATGCTGTGCCATCACTGCCATCTGCAGTGCTCCAAGCCCCAGCCATTTTGAAGACCTGGTGTGAAACCCACTTGTGCTTGTGTCTCAGCACAGTTCTTTTGAACACAAATAAAAGCCAGGGTTGTGGCAAGCACATTTCTCTCTTTGCACCTTTATGAAAAATCCTGAGAGAGAGAGAAATGTGCTTGTCATACAGGGTGCTTGAAACGTGGGCTCAGGCAGCTCCATCTGCCCATCTGGTTTTGTGCCTTACTGCTCTCACTTTCATGTGTGTCAGCTCCCTCATGCCTCTGCTCACAGTCGTGTTCAGCTGTGCAAGAGATCTTCCTCTGCCTCCTTCCAGACTTTCCTTTAAACATGTGCACAGGAAAATACAAATCCTGACCAGCTTCATAAAGAGCTGTGAAAGAAAGCAGTAACCCTGCCCTGAGAGGTCCTTGCACGGGATCTCTGGTCAGCTGGAGCTTTGAGAACCTCACTTTGTGTTTCAGCCTCCTGCAGCGGGGTGGGTTTCAGGATGTGTGAGCTGGATGCTGCAGAGCAGGGCTCAAGGGAAGAAAACACCATTACTAATAAAGTTCTGGTAAGGGCATGGCCAAATTCCATGCAGTCAGCTCATTTTCCCCGTGGGGAGTGTCTGGCTGCCTGTGCTGTCAGTCACTGAGCACGGGGAAGTGCTGCTAGAAACCAGGGGAACATGGAAGATGGATGAGGCACAGCAGAGGCCAAGGAGCTGTGCCCGAGCAGGGACACGTTTGTGTGGGCTGTTTGCAAAAGGCCCGGCCAGGCATTGTTCAGGAGAGAGTGAGTTCAGTGAGTGCGGGGTGCACGGGGTGAGACAAGAGCAGGGAGATCCCAGCCGGCTTCCCACACTTCACCTCCTTCTGCCAGG